AGAAAATCAGCAAGGAAACAGCAGATTTAATTGACACTATAGCCCAAATGGATCTAACAGATATCTACACTTGAAGAATACACATTCTTCTCAGCAGTACATGGAACCTACTCTAGGATTGACTAGGCCATAAAGCAAGTCTCAGCTAATTCCAAAGAATCGAAATCATACCATGCAGTTTTCTCAGATGACAATGGAATGAAGCTGGAACTTAGTAACTCAGGAATCCTTAGAGCATATGCAAACACATAGAGACCGAACAATATGCTCCTGAATGAACAACAGGTCACAGAAGAAATCAAAAACTTTCTGGAAGCAAATGAAGATAACAAACAACACAACATATCAAAACTTACAGGATACAGCAAAAGCAATGTTAAGAGGAAAGTTTATAGCAATAGGTGCCTACATCAAGAAACTGGAAAGGCACCAAATAAATGAGCTATCAATGCATCTCAAGGATCTAGAAAAGCTGCAGCAAACCAGACACAAAACTAGTGGGAGAAGAGAAATAATTACAATTACAGAAGAAATCAACACAATTAAATATGAAAAAAAAAAAAAACATTACAAAAGATCATCCAAATGAAGAGTGAGTTTTTTGAAAAAATAAACAGAGTTGACACTCCATGGACACAACTAATTAAAAAAAGGAGAGAGAAGTACCAAATAAATAAAATCGGACATGGACATGAAAAAGGGACTGTAACAACAAACACCACAGAAATAAAAAGAGTCATCAGAAATTACTACAAAGAGTTGTATGCCAGCAAACAGGGAAATCTATCAGATATGTTAGATTACTGGACAAATACAACATACCTAAATTGAACTATGAAGACAAAGAACCTAAACAGACCCATAATTGAGACAGACGTTGAAGAAGTAATAAAGGCCATCCTGGCCAGCGCCGCGGCTCATTTGGTTAGTCCTCTGCCTGCAGCGCCTGCACCCCGGGTTCTAGTCCAGGTTGGAGCGCCGGATTCTGTCCCAGTTGCTTCTCTTCCAGTCCAGCTCTCTTCTGGCCCTGGAAGGCAGTGGAGCACAGCCCAAGTGCATGGGCCATGTACCCATATGGGAGATGAAGAGGAAGCACCAGGCTCCTGTCTTCGATCATGCAGTGAGTCAGCCACAGTGCACCAGCCGTAGCGGCCATTTGGGGGGTAAACCAATGGAAAGAAGACCTTTCTTTCTGTCTCTCTCTCTCTCTCACTGTCTACCTCTGCCTGCCAAAAAAAAAATAATATTAAAGGTTCCTCTCAACAAAGAAAAGCCCAGGACCAGAGGCTTCAATGCTGAATTCTGCCAGACATTTAAAGGAGAGCTAATTCCAATTCTTCTCTAACTATTCAGAACAACTGAAAGAGAGGGAATCCTCCAAAATGCTTTTTATGAGCATCACCTTAACCTAAACTTGAAAAGTATGCCGCAGAGAAGGATAATTACAGACCAATTTCCCTGATGAATATAGACGCAAAATCCTCAATAAAATTCTGGCCAATACAATGCAACAACACATCAGAAAGATCATCCACCCAGACCAAGTGGGATTTATCCCTGGTATGCAGGGATGGTTCAATGTTTGTAAATCAATCAATGTGATACACCACATTAACAGACTGCAGAAGAAAAACCATATGATTATCTCAATAGATGCCGAGAAAGCATTCAATAAAATACAACACCCTTTCATGATGAGAACTCTAAGCAAACTGGGTATAGAAGGAACAATCCTCAATGCAATCAATGCAATTTATGAAAAAACCACGGCCAGCATACTATTGAATGGGGAAAAATTGGAAGCTTTCCACTGAGATCTGGTACCAGACAGGGATGCCCACTCTCACCACTGCTATTCAATATAGTTCTGGCAGTTTTAGCCAGAGCCATTAGGCAAGAAAAAGAAATTAAAGGGATACAAGTTGGAAAGGAAGAATTCAAACTATCCTTCTTTTTTTTTTTCCTTCTTTACAGATGATATGATCCTTTAGGGGATCCAAAGTACGCTGAAGCAAGACCCCTACTTTACACCTTACACAAAAATACACTCAACATGGATTAAAGAGCTAATTCTATGATCCGATACCATCAAATTATTAGAGAACATTGAGAAAACCTACTAGATAAAGGCACAGGAAAAGACTTCTTGGAAAAGACCCCAGAGGCACAGGCTGTCAAAGCCAGAATTAACAACTGGGATTACATCAAATTGAGAAGTTTCTGTACTGCAAAAGAAATAGTCAGCAATGTGAAAAGGCAATGGACAGAGTGGGAAAAAAATATGTGGAAACTATGCAACTGATAAAGGATTAATAACAGAATCTAAAAAGAAATCAAGAAACTCCACAACAACAACAACAAAAAAAACTAACAATCCACTTAAGAGACTGGACCAGGACCTAAATAGACATTTCTTTTTTTATATAAATTTATTTATTTTTTATTTGAGAGTCAGAGTTACACAGAGAGAGGAGAGGCAGAGAGAGAGAGAGGACTTCCTTCCGATTGTTTACTCCCAAATTGGCTGGAAGAGGCAACAGCTGGAACTGCGCTAGACATTTTTCAAAAGAGGAAATCCAAATGTCCAACAGACACATAAAAAATATTCAGGATCACTAGCAATCAGGAAAATGCAAATAAAAACCACAAGTTTCACCTCACCCCAGTTATAATGGCTTATATATAGAAATCAACAAACAACAGGTGCTAGCGAGGATGTGGGGGAAAAGGGACACTAACCCACTGTTAGTGGGAATGCAAACTGGTAAAGCCACTATGTGAGTCAGTCTGGAGATTTCTCAGAAACCTGAATATAGCCCTTCCACATGATCCAGCCATCGCACTCCTTGGAATTTACCCAAAGGAAATTAAATTGGCAAATAAAAGAGCTGTCTTCACCTCAATGTTTATTGCAGCTCAATTCACAATAGCTAAGACCTGGAATCAACCTAAATGCCCATCAACAGAAGACTAGATAAATAAATTATGGGATATGTGCTCTATAGAATACTAAAGAGCACTAAAAAAATGAAATCCGGTTATTTGCAACAAGATGGTGGAATTTGGAAAACATCATGCTGAGTGAATTAAGCCAGTCCCAAAGGAACATATATCATAGGTTCTCCCTGATCTGTGACAACTAACTGAGCACCTAAAAGGAAACCTGTAGAAGGGAAATGGACACTATGAGAAACAATGACTTGATCAGCCCTTGTCCTAACTGTCGAGGAACAACTTAATACTCTATCCCTTTTAGTATTTTTTTCTAATTAATATTATTGGTTGAACTCTTTGATTAACACATAATTATTCTTAGGTGTTTAAATTTAACTGAAAAGTGGCCCCTGTTAAATATAAGAGTGGGACTAAGAGAGGGACGGCCAGTACAGTTCGGCACATGCTCTCTCAGACTTACTCCTAATGGTAGAGCTAGAAACATGCTAGGGGATTCCAACTCAATCCCATGAAGCTGGCATGTACCAATGCCATCTCACTAGTCAAAGTAATCAGTTTAAGTTCATAATTGATCATAATGATAGGATTAAGTGTCAAAGGATCACATAAACAAGACCAGTGTCTGCTAATACTAATTGATAGAATTAAAAAGGAGAAAACGATCCAACATGGGAAGCAGGCTACACAGCAGAATCATAGAATGAAAGGTGTCCTAAACAGCATTCTGGCCTCAGAATCAGCCCTTAAGGCATTTGGATCTGGCTAAGAAACCCATCAGAGTTTCTCAGGCATGGAAAGGCAAGACACTCTGGCAAAAAAAAAAACAAAAAAAAACAAACACCCTAAATGAAAGATCTCTGTGAGTGAGATCCCAACAGAAAGAAAGAAGAGGCCATCAAAATAGGAGGTAACTTTCTCTGAAAGGAGGAGTGAAATTCCACTTTGACTATGGCCTTGTTTAAATACAATTGGAGTTTGTGAACTCAAGAGGTTTCCATAGCCTTGGTAGCTCATCACAAGAATGTCACATGATTACTGATGCCATAAAGAAGAGTGTCAATTGTTAAATCAACAACAGGAATCACTGTGCACTTACTCCCCATGTAGGATCTCTATCCTTAATGTGTTGTAGTATGCGAATTAATGGTAAAACTAGCACTCAAACAGTATTTTATACTTTGTCTATCTGGGTGGCTGCAAACTGTTGAAATCTTTACTTTGTATATACTAAGTTGATCTTCTGTGTATAAAGATAATTGAAAATGAATGTTGATGTGAATGGGATGGGAGATGGGATGGTTGTGGGTGGAAGGGAGGTTATGGGGGAAAAAGCTGCTATAATCCAAAAGTTGTACTTTTGAAATTTATAGTTATTAAATAAAGTTTTTTTAAAAAAAGAGAATTGGTGATTGTTTATTGCATTGGTGTTACATCCTTGACTCCTCTGTTGAGGAATTTTTTTTTTTTTTTTTTTTTTTGTCTCTCTCTCTATTCATACTATTTTTGCACTCTTTTACTTAGGGTAGGGCTAACTATACAATCATGAAGTATATTGAAAATTGCTCATTGTAAAAATTAAGAGTGGGAATTTTGGGCAGGGGAGGGTTGGGTGGGAGGGAGAATGGGGGGCTGAGTGCCACTTTTCCTAAATCTATATATATGAAATAGTTGAAACTTGTAGCACAAATAAAATTAAAAAAAAAATAGGATTCTTCCAAATGGAAATTTGGCATAGTAATTAAGAGGTCTCTTTGGATGTATACATTCCACATTGGAGTATTGGATCTATTCTGACTTTCTGCTAATGTGCACGCAAAAAGGCAGCAGAGAATGGCTCAAGTTCTTGGGTCCTTACCACTTATGTGGAAGACTTGGACTGTGTTGATATAGCCAGAGGAAGAGCACGGTGTGAGTCTGGCCTGGATTGTGGTCTGGATTATCTGGCTTCATTGTGGATAAGAATGCTCTATCTATCTCAAACAATATTTAAATAAATAAAAATTTTACAAAATAAGATTCAGGTATAAATATATATTGAAACTTACCCTCTTGTCTTCAATTTCCAATTCAAGACCTGATTTTCGGAGATTTTGCTCAAATTCTTTTCTTCTTTCCTTTAGCAAAACAAACAGAATTATGCAGAATACTTTTATTCTATTAGTTCAATGAGAGACTAGGTACACGATGGCCAAACTTCTAAGTGTTCTGTGTCCCACCCCAGTTATTTTAAAAAGGCCTCTGTGTATTACGTCAAACTTAATGTCATGTACTGCTTTCCATCTGTACAATAATTCCCAATAATCATAAAAATCCAATGTATCCTATAATCTCTGGGAAATATGCAGCAGAACCTTTAATGGAAGACATATAAAAACTTTACTAAATAAAATACTGTTTTTTAAATAAAAGCTTTACAATAAGACAAATATATCATGCTGTTATTTGGGATGACTCAGTATTACCAAGTTCAATACTCTGCAAATAAATTATATATTTAATTCAACTTTAAGCCAAAATGTCAATATGACTTTTTAATCTTGAAGGATAGAATGGCTTCACACAGAGAAAAATCAAATTAAACTATAGGTCATTAGTTCACATAATCAAATTATGTAGACTTAAAAACAATTCACTGATCATCAATATTTTTGCTTTAACTGTGAATAAAGTATAACAAAATACACACTAAAATTTTAAAATAATTACAGTATCTTCAAACACTAATCTTCAAATAGGCATGTCTTGAGTATGTATAATATGTTTTTTAAAAAAGCTAGGAGAGGGGATTTTGAATGTTTTCACCAAAATGAGGGTAGGTATTGAACACTGTACAATATAGGCCTGTATCAGGGCCTGCGCTGTGACACAGCAGGTTAAAGCCCTGGCCTGAAGCAATGGCATCCCATATGGGTGCTGGTTCTTGTCCCAGCTGCTCCTCTTCTGATCCAGCTCTCTGCTATGGCCTGGGAAAGAAATAGAAGCCGCCCAAGTCCAAATGACATAAAGAGAAGATTCTAAAATGTGCATGAGAGAAATGCCAGATTACTTTCAGGGGATCTCCAATTAGACTCACAGCAGACTTCTCATCAGAAACCCTACAGGCTAGGAGAGAGTGGTAAGATATAGTCCAAGATTAACAGAAAAAAAAACTGTCATCCAAGAATATTATACCCTGCAAAGCTCTCATTTATGAATGAATGTGAAATAAAGACTTTCCATAACAAATAGAAATTGAGGGGACAGCACTGTGGTGTAACAGCTGCCTGCAGTGCCGGCATCCCGGACATTGGTTCGAGACCCAGTTGCTCCACTTCTGATCCAGCTCTCTACTATGCCTGGGAAAGCAGCAGAAGATGGCCCAAGTGCTTGGGCCCCTGCACCCACATGGGAGACCTGGAAGAAGCTCCTGGCTCCTGGCCTCGGATCAGCAGAGTTCCGCCTGCTGTGGCCAATTGGAAATGAACAAGCTGATGGTAGACCTCTCTGTCTCTCCTATCTCTGTGTTACTCTGATTTTCAAATAAATCAATAAATCTTTTAAAACAAAAAATGAAATTGAAAGAATTTGTCATCACCCATCTAGCCCTACAAAAAATGCTTACTGATGTGCTGCACACAGAAATATGGTCATCACTACAAAAGAAGGTAAAGGAATAAAATCTCTCAGTAAAAGATCAAAGGAAATTCAAAGTAAAAATTAGGAATATTTTTGGAAAAATAGCAGGGCAAAGTCATTACTTATCAATACTCACATTGATTTTAAATGGCCTCAACTCCATAGCCAAAAGACTAATATTCAGAATCTAAAAAGAGATCAAAAACTCCACAACAAGAAAGCAAACAACCCACTAAAGAGAAGGGCCAAGGACTTAGACATTTTTCTTTTTTTTTTTAAGATTTATTTATTTATTCAAAAGTCAGAGATATACAGAGAGAAGAGAGGCAGATAGAGAGTGATCTTCCATCCAATGGTTTACTCTCCAGATGGCCTCAATGCCCAGAGCGGCACTGATCTGAAGCCAGGAGCCAGCAGCTTCTTTCGGGTCTCCCACATGGGTGCAGGGGCCCAAGGACTTGGGCCATCTTCTACTGCTATCCCAGGCCACAGCAGAGAGCTGCATTGGAAGAGGATCAGCCGGGACTAGAACACATGCCCATATGGGATGCCAGCACTTCAGGCCAGGGTGTTTACCTGCTCTGCCACAGTGCCGGCCCCATTAAACAGACATTTTTCAAAGAGGAAATCCAAATGGCCAACAGACACATGCAAAAAATGTTCAGGATCACTAACCATCAGGGAAATGCAAATCAAAACCACAATGAGTTTTCACCTCACCCCAGTTAGAATGGCTTTCACACAGAAATCAACAAACAACAAATGCTGGTGAGGATGTAGGGAAAAAAGTATCCTAATCCACTGTTGGTGGGAATGAAAACTGGTAAAGCTAGCATGGAAAACAATTTGGAGGTATGTCAGAAATCTGAATATAGTCCTACCTTAGGACCCAGTCATCCCACCCTTTGTAATTTTCCCAAAGGAAATAAAATCGGCAAATGAAAGAGCTATCTGCACCGCCATGTTTATTGCAGCTCAATTCACGATAGCTAAAACATGGAATCAACCTAAATGCCAGTCAACAGAAGACTGGATAAAGAAATTATGGGATATATACTAATGGAATACTACATAGTGGTAAAAAAAAATGAAATCCGGACATTGGCACCAAAATTGATGAATCTGAAAAAATCATACTTAGTGAAATAAACCAGTCCCAAACAGACAAATATCATATGTTCCCCCCTGATCTGTGACAACTAGTAGAACACCTAAAAGGAAACATGTAGGAGTGAAATTTACACTATGAGAAACAAATATTTGAATAGCCCTTGTCTTGACTTTAGAGGATGAGTTTATTATTTTAGTTTTTTTACTCTTTTCTTTTTCTACTTAATATCATTGGTTGAACACTTTACTTAACACAGAATTACTCGTAAGTCTTTAAATCCAATTGAAAATTGATCACAGTAAAAAATAAGAGCCCAAATAAGAGAGGGAGGAGATGTACAGTTCGGCAGATGTTCCCTCGGACTTACCCCTAAGGGTAAAGCTAAAAACTTTGCCATGGGACTCCAAATCCCATTAAAGTGGGTGCTAATGCCATCTTACTAGTTAATGCGATCATTTTAAGAGTGTAACTTATATATATAGGAATAAGTGTCAAAAAAATCACATAAATAAGACCAAGTGTCTGCTAATAACAATAGGTAGAATTAAAAAGGAGAGAACGATGCAACATGGGAAGCAGGCCACACAGCAGACTCAGAGAATGACAAACACCCTAAACATCACTCTGGCCTCAGAATCAGCCCTTAAGGCATTCGGATCTGGCTAAAAAGCCCATGAAAGTATTTCAGGCATGGAAAGCCAATACACTCTGGCAAAGAATGATCTACATGAAGGATCTCTATGAGTGAGATCCCAGTGGAAAGAAGCGTCCATCAAAGAAGAGGTACCTTTCTCCAAAGAGAGGATAGAACTTCCATTTGATTATGGCCCTGTCTAAATACTGATGGAGTTTGTGGACTCAAGAGGCTTCCATAGCCTTGGCAGCTCATAAGAGCATCGGGTGATCACTGACATCATGAATAAGAGTTTCATTTGTTAAATCAACAAGAGTCACTGTGCACTTGCTCCCCATGTAGGACCTCTGTCCTTAATGAGCTGTTCTATGGTAATTAGCAGTAAAACTTGTCTTCAAACAGTACTTTATACTTTGTGTGTCTGTGTGGGTACAAACTGTTGAAATCTTTACTTAGTAAATAGTTGGTCTTCTGTATAAAAAGATAATTAAACATGAATCTTAATGAAGAATGGAATGGGAGATGGAGCAGAAGGTGGGATGGGAGTGTAAGTGTGAAGGTGGGTATGGGGAAGAATTCCTAAAGCTGTACCTATGAAATTTATATTTATTAAGTAAAAGCTTTCTAAAAAATAAATAAAAATAAAATAAATAAAAGTGAACAAATAATATCAGCTTTGAAAGTGACAATTGCCATAATGAAAATAAAATAGGATCATAATTACAATATAATACAAAGTCCACTGCAGATTGGATAAATTCATCCTACAATTTCAAAACAGTATTTTCACTGAAAAGATTTATATTATTTTCAAAAACTCCTGCAATTTGGTGGCCACACTTAATATCTAATGTGAGCTGTCTAAATACCTCAGCTTCTTGGAGGAGAAGTAAAAGGACTTTGTCTCTAAAACATCCAGTAAATTTAATTGGCATCACACATTCATTACTCGGCTGCCTATTTTGTAGTCTTTTCACTCAGTTTCAGCTTTCAATAACACTTCGGAAGTCTCTGACTTTTTACAGTGTAATTCAATGTGAATATCCACATCAAAATATAGAATATACTTCTTTTTGTTATTCTTGTGTTTCTCACATAGGCACTTACCGCTTTTATTTCCGCATCTTTCCTTAAGTCATCAACATAGGAAAGTACAAAATCAATTTGCCTAATCCCATCTCGAAAGAAGATAGAATCTTTGCTTTGCTCATTTTTTTGAAACTGTAGGAGACATAAACGGCACAATTTTAAATTCTATTTTTATTCTCAAGTGGCAAAAAACATGGAAATGATTACTTAATATTTGTTTTCTTAAAGATTTATTTCATTTATTTAAAAAGCAGACTGACAGAGAGAGTGAGCAAGAGGGAGAGAGACACAGAGAGAAAAAGATCTTCTCTCTACTGCTTTACTCCCTAAATGGTTGCAACAGCCCAGGCTGGGTCAGGTCAAATCCAAGAGCCTGGAACTCCATTTAGATTTTCCACGTGGGTGGTAGAGATCCAAGTATTTGGACCACCTTCTTGCTGCCTTTCCAGGATCTTTAGCAAGAAGCTGGATCAGAAGTGAAACAGCCAGGATTCATTGCTCCAATAGGGAATTACAGCATTGTGAACAGTGGCTTAAACTGATGTTCCACAATGCAGGCTCGATTATCTAAAATTTGGTCACCACTTAATGTTATATTTGATTCTTGAAATGACAGATCAGGGCACACAATTGGAGTTTCCATCAACAGAAGAGTATGCTTATGTAATGAAGTCAAATTCTATATAGGGCTTTCATTAAAAAAGACCCAGGAGGAGGATCAGCAAATTGACTACTTGTCCATACAACAAAAATACTACAATTACCCTAAAATATAAAATAAGTATATGTATACACTGATTCCAAAATGCATATTCAGAGAACTTTGTTATCTTCATTAAACAACACACCTATTAGTCCACTTAATAATTCATAGTTACATACTACTTTGGAGGTATAATTAATTGCTGACCAATTAGTGGAATGTCACTCTCAGAAACTTATGATTAATGCTCATAGTTCAGAAATATTCCACTTTCTAATTCTACTTTTGAAATATTAAAACAAAATTAACATGCAGTTAAAGATTAGAAAGCTGGGAGCCTGCTAGTTGGTCTTACAGCAAGTAAATACTCATGCAAATTTCTCTTTAACATCGATTTCTCATGTGAAACAAAATCAATCCTTTGTTTAAATCTATACAAATTTGCTTGGTTTAATAACTAAACTTAAAACTTTAAATTTCATATGCTGTGTTGCCTGTTAATTATTTCTCTTTCAAAATAGCAAAAACACTAGAGAACTCCTAAAAGAATTTCATGTGTGGCTGATTTGGCTTCTCACAGTTAATATAAAATATGTAATACTTAATATTAATAGCCTAAGTGTGGCACATAGAATTACAGAAATAGATGATTTATTGGATGTCAATGAGGCACCTTTCCAATTACTTTAGCTAATCCATGAATAGGAAGTTCGATGATTTTAATCTTCACAACTGGTATTTCTTTTCTTCTTCTTCTTTTTTTTTTTTTTGACAGGCAGAGTGGACAGTGAGAGAGAGAGACAGAGAGAAAGGTCTTCCTTTTCCGTTGGTTCACTCCCCAATGGCCACTGCGGCTGGCATGCTGCAGCGGGCACACCGCACTGATCTGAAGCCAGGAGCCAGGTGTTCCTCCTGGTCTCCCATGTGGGTGCAGGGTCCAAGGACTTAGGCCATCCTCTAATGCACTCCCGGGCCACAGCAAAGAGCTGGACTGGAAGAGGAGCAACCAGGCACAACTGGTATTTCTAATAGTTTATGTCTGTAAGTATTGTTTTATAGTATTCTATACCATTTTTCACCTAAATCAGGCCAGATGGATCTCCCATAAAAGACAGCGGATGTAAGTCAGTCAGGTATGAACAAGTTAGGAAGCTCATGTTCAATTTGTGGTCATGTTCAATTTGTGGTATTTTAAATCTATGTAACAGCTATTATTACATATAAGTTTGATTGAAAATCACTTTGGAAAAGAAAAGGAAACAAAGCAAAACCAACAAAACCATTCATTCTTGTAAGTCATCATAGTATTAGCTTATCTTATGAAATTCATCAATTTGTGGAAGCCAATTAGAACAAATGGTTCTAATTTGACTATATTTAATCAAAATACAAAATCAGAAGGAAAAAGCAATAGTTCTCTTGCCCTATGTCTGTAGCAGCCATATTTGTGTGCATGTATGTAAGAATTTTGACATCTACCATATTTATAAGCGATCATATTATACAGACAAGCTCAACTGTGATCCAGAAGGGTGGTACTATTGATTGAAGATGTGCAAAGGGGACAAAATTTACACTCCATTTTTGACAAAGACTCAACAAAATACCTAAGAGAATAGGGATTCTAATTCTTTTCCTGAGTGTACAATAATAATGAGTATATTTATTTTGTTCCTTAGAACCAGGATGACTTAGGATGACCGAAACTTCTATCATTATGTAGTATTTTAAGTTTAAGCTGTGAATTTTTTTCTTAATATAAAGAAAAAAAAATCATCAGTAACCTTGTAAATCACCATGAGGTACATGTCTTAAGACAGTTAAAAACCAGTTAACTGGGGCAGAAAGATCTTAATTCTGTTATATATAACTGAATATTATTAAAACACATTGTGCTTTTTTTGGGCTCCAAACATGCCATTTATATCTTTAGATCATATTTTATTTGATATGAGTATTTGTGCTCATATTTAACTTGTGCTTAGAAATGCCTATTTATAATGAAACAAACATCTGAGTGGCTTCTCTGAATGATGTAGTTATTCTTAGATACATAAATCTGTATTCCTCTGAAGCTATGTAGATTGTGCATGTGTGCGTGCGTGTGTGTGTGTGTGTGTGTGTGTGTATGTACATTTTTAGAAAGAGGGTATAGATTCCATCAGATCTAAAAAAGATTAAGAATCATTATTCTGAAACTTCAATTCCCTGGGAACTAGGTATCAGTGAGAAAGTCCCAACAAATCAACAGTACTCCTTGGAAGAACAATGACCCATGCTATTGCTGCAGCCATCCAGAGCAAAAGCAGCATCATTCAGCGCTGGTTTTTACCATAAGACGCCGCCGCAGGAACAAATTGTACCGTTTTGCAGGCTGTGAAGCAACCGATAGAGAGTTAGGATTTCCTACCCAGAATTAAAGATTCCAAGAAACATATACACAAACTTTAGTATGATCACTCTATAATTGTTTATCTGTGTGTGTGATATTCAATCCTGGAGGGGAGAGAGGTAGCAAGGAGGAAAGAGGGGGAAAAAAATTGAAGGAAACGAATAGCCAATGGGCAAGAGACTTCAAATTCCCAGAACTCCTTTTTGAACATTTTATTTATTTTAACTTTATTTAAAAGGGAGGGAGAGGAATGGGGAGGGGGAGGGGGGGAGGAGGGAGAAGGAGAGGGAGAATATGAATCTTCCATCTGCTAGTTCACTCCCCATATGCTTGCAACAGCCAGGGATGGGCCAGACAAAAGCTATAAGCCTGGAACTCAATCAAGGTCTCCCACATGAGTAGCAGGGACCCAAGTACTTGAGTCATCATCTGCTGCCTCCTAGGTTGCACATTACCAGGAAGCTAGAGGAGCTGTGACTTGAACCAAGCACTACAACATAAGATGTGAGCAACCCAAGCAGCATCCTAACTGCTGTGTCATATGCCCTCTCCTCCCTAAATCCTTTAGAGGATAGCTTTAAATAATAAATATTTGTGGAACTTAATTAAGAAGAAAAGAGAAAAAATGATAATGAAGAAAAACATTGGAATAATAAAAATACAGAGTAAAATGGATAGGCTGTTAAGTATACCTTGATAGTTGATTGATTGATCAGGCAAAGAAAACAGAATTACTATAATTATACTGAGATGATGCAGATATTACATATGCAAAAGCTTATGTATATATGTATAGAAAGCTTACACAGAGTTTATTTTAAAAATATCTTATGACTTCCTAATATACTAAAAGAGAAAATATCATTTAATTTTTTAAATCATGAATTGTCTCCAATCTTCGATTACCGTAATCATTATTTAAAATACCAAGGCAATTACCAAAAAATATCTTGGATAATCAATGATATTTGGGAGGCATGCGTTTGTTGTGGAAGTTAAGATGTTGTTTGGACACCAGCATCTCATTTTGAAGAGTCTGGATTCAGGTCCTGGCCCTGCTTTCATTCTAGCTTCCTTCTAATGTGCACTCTAGGAGGTAGATGGTTATGGCTCAAGTACCTGGGTGCCTTCAACCCATATGAAAAACCTAGATTGAGTTCTAGGCCCCAAATAAGGGACATTCTTCAAAATACCTGAATGGTGCGTCTCAAAAACAAGAAATGTATGTGAAACTGTGTCAGCCAGGGGCTCCTTAAGAGAGCTGACTACTCAATGCAATGCAGTTTCTTTGATGGGATATTGAAATAGAAACAAGACATTAGGAAAAACCTAAGGAAATGTGAATAAATTAACTTTATTGTGAGAAATAAACCATACTAATGTAAGATGCTAATAGAAGAAGATAACAGAAGACATGGGATATAAGGAAAGTGTAGTATATTTGTAATAAATCTGTAAATCTAAAATTATATGAAAGTGAAGTTTTCAAAAAAATTTACTTATAAATTTTAAACATATACTGTGTAACCAAAGATAATGTCAGCATAGATAATGAAATATCACAGGTCATTTCAAAGTTTTTTAGAATTTAAAATTTCAATTATTAGACATAACATAAGCGGGTAAAGTATTTGCAACTTTTATCATAGGTAAAAAGATAATGTTAAAGATGTACATAGTCCCCCCCCCAAAAAAAAATCAAGAGAAAAAATAAAAATCTAACTACCTGACAGGCAAATGGAGAAGATATATGAACAGACTGATGTAACAAATTAATTAAAATGACCATTCAGTGTAGAAAAAATGCATTTCACTAATCTTAAGAAAAATGCACATTTAAACTATACTAAGATGCTGAGCTAACTGAAAGAGCTCCTAATAGTTACTTGGTGTTTCAATATCAGAAAGAAAAAAATCTAAAAGCAGGAAACTGGCACTCTCATATATTTGTCAAACATGTTAAATGAAGAGGAATTTGGAGATAAATGACAAAGCTATATATGCCTTGGTTCTTTGATAGAGAACTCCAATGCAGAAAGATACACTAACCAAAATACTTTCAGATGAATTCCTAAGGGTATTCATAGTAGGGATATTTGCAATATCACTGAAAAAAAAAAAACTTAAAAATGAAAATGGTTGCCACAGAAGGATGGAGAGGAAAAAAGAAGAAAGAAACACTTACCTGAAAATGTTTTGTTCTATAATTCCAGTTTATGTATTTACCTTCAAGTGAATAAAGGACGAAGACATAATTTTCAACCCACACCAACCTTTGTACTACTGTACTCAATACAATAGTGCCAGTGATGCAAGGGAAGCATTTAAATTTCTTTTTTATATAAAGTTTTTTTTAATATTTATTTATTTGAAAAGCAGAGTTAGAGAAAGAGGGAGGGAGACAAAGAGAGAGATCTTCCATCTGCTGGTTCGTTCCCCAAAAGGCCACAGCAGCTGGAGCTGGGCCAATGAGAATCCAGGAGCCAGGAGCTTCTTCTAGGTCTATCAACTAGGTGCAGGGGCCCACATACTTGGGCCATCTTCCTCTGCTTTCCCAGGTGCATTAGCAGGGAGCTGGATCAGAAGTAGAGCAACTAGGACTCCAAATAGTACCTACATTTGGGATACCAGTGCCATAGATGGGCGGCTTTACCCACTACACCACAGTGCTGGATCCAAGCATTAAATTTCAATAATGGGGCCATTACTGTGGCATAACAGGTAAAAGTGCCACCTGTGATGCCAGCAACCCATATGGATGCCGCTTCATGTCCTGACTGCTGATCCAGCTCCCTGCTAATGGCCTGGGAAAAGCCATGGAAGATTGTCCAAGTGTTTAGGCCTCTGCCAACCATTTGGGAGACCTGGAAGAAGCTCCTGGATCCTGTCTGAGGCCTGGTCCAGTGTTGGCCATTGCGGCCATCTGGGGAGTGAGTCAGCACATGGAATATCTCTTTCCCTCTTTCTGTCTCTCCCTCCCTCTGTAACTCTGATTTTCAAATATAAAATAAAATCTTAAAAAGTAAATAAATTTCAATAATGAAAATGTAAGGTGTTCTATTAAAAATACTAAAATATGAATATCACTCATGATATTAAATTGAGACTGCAACCACTCAGAAGAATCATGGGAGACTCTCAGCCTCTAGTAAATACATGCTCCAAATCCCATTTCATTTGTATGTAATACTATCTACTGTGGGCCTGCCAAGGATTTAGAAAGGAATCTAGTTATGTAATCTCACAGGAAAATCTTGTTGTAAAATTTTTAAAGTAAAATATTTTCCTTAAAAAATGACAATAAAATTGTGTGAGGTTTAGGTTCCACCAAATCTTATTCAATGAATAGTTTGCAAGAGGGAAATCACATTAATGTTTGTACAATCAAAAAATAAAAATAAAGAAAATTAATCAACAAAATTTCAGTTTAATTTGACCAATCCTCATCAGAACAGTGTATATTGGTAGCCTACTGAAAAGCAAACCATCACCTATGTGAAAATTTTCAATATAGAAACATTTGTACTGTGAAACTGTCTACATCTTCCTGAACAGCATCTTTCATTTACTATGCAACTAAAAAAAAAAAAAAAAAAAAAAAAAAGGTAAGTCCTTTACTAACATCATAAATGACATTTTATTTTTTAAAAAAATCACATTTCTCCATGATTATTCTTAGGTATTTACTTCAAAGAAGAGTGCTGTGACACAGTAAGGATTTTGAAGTAGGCTTCAGAAACTTGAGTTCTAGTCCATTAAAAATAGGGATAATTTTGATCAAGTCAACTTCTTAAACCATTCATTTTCTCAATTGCAAAACTGAGAAACATTAAAATACATGTAAAGTGCTATGTCTAACATGTAATTCAAATTAATATATTTGATATCATTTTTTCCCTTAAGGAACTGACTTTTTTTTCTAAAGTAATAGGTTTTTAAACACCACCTTATAGGTGGCCTGAATATATATATATAGAGAGCCTGAATAAGAGAACTGGGAAAGAGAATAATACCACCGTAGACTGCAAAACATGTTCCATCCATGTCCACCCAAGAAAGGATAGTGTCGTTTGTTGCTTACCATTGATTCTTCATTGATGAGTAAATTGGTCTCTCTGCTACTCATGCTCTATTAATAGAACCAAGGGGAAGACAGTCCTGTTTAATAATAGCACAGATAGGGCTAGGAGAACATTTAAGTTTCAACAATAATAATAATATTAAAAAAAAACCTCCAGGTTCTCTGTAAGTTTTCTATGCAGGAATGCTAAAGCTGGGTCCCAAGAGAGTTATGAAGCACCTGAAATGGTATTCAACACTGTGTATGTGTATACACATGTGCGTGTGTGTTTGTGTGCATGTGGGTATACTTATCTGTTTGTCTTTGAGTGTATCTCTGTGGGTGAAGACAGGGAGCTTGAGCCAGAATTAGAATTTGGGAGGCAGCATATCAAACAATGAAAAGAAAAAAATAACAAGAAGTCTATTCTTTTAATTATACTGAATCATGAACAGGATCAAAACAAAGGGCAGAATTAATTGGTTGTTTATGCCTTTCAACATTTGCTTGAAAACAAATATTTACCTTGGAAAATGTACCATTAGAATTCTTTGGAATTCATACTTACAACCTAGGGAGAAAACACTACACAACTACAAACTGATTTTAATTAAAGCCATATGATGCATCACTCATATGATAGCTCACATACCACAGAACATGCTCCTGCAAGAGCACCCAGACACTTCTCAGCTTTCTAGAAATACAATTAGTAGAGTGCTATGGCTAGGCAGCAACTACAAGAAATGTCCTGAAATTCGTATCTAGACTGAAGATTCATTTAATACTGTTTTTGGAAAAATACAATCAGTATCTCATTTTGCACAGGTAATGCTGGGAAAGCCAATTTTGAAAAGAATACATAGGAAGTACTGTGGACATGGGGCCAGTGCTGTGGCATAGTGGGTTAAACCTCCATCCATTGCAATGACATCCCATATGGATGCCCGATACCAGTTCCCAGCTGCTTCTCTTCTAATCCAGCTCTCTGCCATGGTCGGGAAAGCAGTAGAAGATGGCCTAAGTGCTTAGGCCACTGCACCTGTGTGGGAGACCTGGAAGAAGCTCCTGGCTTCTGACTTCAAATAGGCACAGCTCAGGCCATCGTGGCCATTTAGGGAGTGAACCAGTAGATGGAAGGCCTTTCTCTCTATCTCTTCCTCTCTAAGTATGTAATTCTACCTCTCAAATAAATAAAATCTTAAAAAAAAAGAAAGTATGTGAACACATTTTAAAAACATTGCACAGACCATCTTGGGAAACACTCAGTGCTACAAAAGTTAAGTCACAGATGGAGTCACAGAGAATTAGTAACTGCTTTCTGTTCTTTTTAACATTTATTTAACAAATATAAATTTCCAAAGTATAGCTTATGGATTACAGTGGCTTCCCCCCCCCCCATAACTTCCCTCCCACCTGCAACCCTCCCCTTTCTTGCTCCCTCTCCCCTTCCATTCACATCAAGATACATTTTCAATTCTCTTTATATACAGAAGATCAGTTTAGTATATGTTAAGTAAAGATTTCAACAGTTTTCACCCACACAGAGACACAAAGTGTAAAGTACTGTTTGAGTACTAGTTATAGCAATAAGTCACAATGTACAGCACATTAAGGACAGAGATCCTACATGAGGAGTAAGTGCACAGTGACTCCTGTTGTTGACTTAACAAATTGACACTCTTATTTATGGCATCAGTAATCATCCTAGGCTCTTGTCATGAGTTGCCAAGGCTATGAAAGCCTTCTGAGTTCACTGACTCTGATCATATTTAGACAAGGTCATAGTCAAAGTGGAATTCACTCCTCCCTTCAGAGAAAGGTGCTTCATTCTTTTGAAATGGACACTATGAGAAAGAGTGACTTGATCAGCTCTTGCCCTGACTGTTGATGTACAATGTAATGCTTTATCCACTTTAGTATTTTTTTTTTGTTCTAGTACTATTGGTTGAACTCTGTAATTAACACACAACTATTCTTAGGTGTTTAAATTTTAACTGAAAAGTGATCCCTGTTAGGAATCTGGAAAGCATTATGCTGAGTGAAATAAGCCAGTCCCAAAGGGACAAATATCATATGTTCTCCCTGATGGATGAAAACTAACCAAGCACCAAAAATGAAACCTGTTAAAGTGAAATGAACACTATGAGAAAAGGTGACTTGATCAGCCCTTGCCCTGAATGTTGATGAACAACTTAATACATTATCCCTCTTAGTATTTGTTTGTTTGTTTGTTCTACTTAATACTTTTGGTTGAATTCTGTAATCAATACACAGTTATTCTTAAGTGTTGAGACTTAACTGAAAAGTGATCGCTGTTAAATATAAGAGTGGGAATAAGAGAGGGAGAAGATGTACAATTCAGGACATGCTCCAGCTGACTTGCCCCAAACGGTAGAGTTAGAAATATACCAGGGGATTCCAATTCAATCCCATCAAGGTGGCATGTACCAATGCCATCTCACTAGTTCCGGTGATCAATTTCAGTTCATAATTGATCATAATGATAGGACTAAGAGTCAAAGGGATCACATAAACAAGACTAGTGTCTGCAAATACTAACCGATAGAATAAAAAGAGGAGAGAACGATCTAACATGGGAAGCAGGATACACAGCAGACTCATAGAATGGCAGATGTCCTAAACAGTACTCTGGCCTCAGAATCAGCCCTTAAGGCATTTGGATCTGGCTTAAAAGCCCATGAGAGTATTTTAGGCATGGAAAGCCAAGACACTCTGGCAAAAAAAAAAAAAAAAAATGACCTAAATGAAAGATCTCTGTGAGTGAGATCCCAGTGGAAAGAACAGGTCATCAAAGAAGGAGGTACCTTTCTCTGAAGGGAGGAGAGAACTTCCACTTTGACTATGACCTTGTCTAAATATGATCAGAGTCAGTGAACTCAAAAGGCTTCCATAGCTATGACAACTCATGACAAGAGCCTAGGATGATTACTGATGCCATAAACAAGAGTGTCAATTTATTAAGTCAACAACAGGAGTCAGTGTGCACTTACTCCTCATGTAGGATCTCTGTCCTTAATGTGCTGTACATTGTGATTTAATGCTATAACTAGTACTCAAACAGTATTTTTCACTTTGTGTTTCTATGTGGGTGCAAACTGTTGAAACCTTTACTTAATATATGCTAAACTGATTTTCTGTATATAAAGACAATTGAAAATGAATCTTGATGTGAATGGAACGGGAGAGGGAGTGGGAAAGGGGAGGGTTGCAGGTGGGAGGGAAGTTATGGGGGGGAAGCCATTGTAATCCATAAGCTGTACTTTGGAAATTTATATTCATGAAGTAAAAGTTGAAAGAATTTATAAAAAAGAAAGGTACCTCCTTCTTGATGGCCCATTATTTCCACTGGCATCTCACTTGCAGGGATTTTTCACTTAGTTCTTTCTTTTTTTTTATGTCAGAGTGTCTTGGTTTCCACGCCTCAAATAATCTCATGGGCTCTTCAGCCAGATCTGAATGCCTTAAGGGCTGATTCTGAGGCCAGAGTACTGTTTAGGACATCTGCCATTCTATGAGTCTGCTGTGTATCCTGCTTCCCATGTTAGATCGTTCTCTCCTCTTTTTATTCTATCGGTTAGTATTTGCAGACACTAGTCTTGTTTATGTGATCCCTTTGACTCTTAGTCCTATCATTATGATCAATTATGAACTGAAATTGATCACCGGAACTAGTGAGATGGCATTGGTACATGCCACCTTGATGGGATTGAATTGGAATCCCCTGGTATGTTTCTAACTCTACCGTTTGGGGCAAGTCAGCTGGAGCATGTCCCAAATTGTACATCTTCTCCCTCTCTTATTCCCACTCTTATATTTAACAGCGATCACTTTTCAGTTAAGTCTCAACACTTAAGAATAACTGTGTATTGATTACAGAATTCAACCAAAAGTATTAAGTAGAACAAAAAATACTAAAAGGGATAAAGTGTTAAGTTGTTCATCAATATTCAGGACAAGGACTGCTCAAGTCACTGTTTCTCATAGTGTCCATTTCAGTTCCACAGGTATCCTTTTTGGTGCCTGGTAGGTTGTTATCCATCAGGGATAACATATGGTATTTTTCCCTTTGGGGCTGGCTTATTTCACTCAGCATGATGTTTTCCAGATTCCTCCATTTTGTTGTAAATGACAGGATTTCATTGTTTTTTACTGCTATAGTATTCTATAGATTACATGTCCCATAATTTCAGTCAGGAAAGTGAAGAGGCAACCGACACAATGGGAAAAAATATTTGCAAACTATGCAACAGATAAAGCCTTAATAACCAATCTACAAAGAGATCAAGAAGTCCCACAACAACAAAGGAAAAAACCCACTTAAGAGATGGGTCAAGGACCTCAATAGACATTTTTCAAAAGAGGAAATCCAAATGGCCAACAGACACATGAAAAAATGTTCAAGATCACTAGCAATCAGGGAAATGCAAATCAAAACCACAATGAGGTTTCACCTCACCCCAGTTAGAATGGCTCACATTCAGAAATCTACCAACAACTGATGCTGGCAAGGATGTGGGGAAAAAGGGACACTAACCCTCTGTTGGTGGGAATGCAAACTGGTAAAGCCACTATGGAAGTCAGTCTGGAGATTCTTCTGAAACCTGAATATAACCCTACCATACAACCCAGCCATCCCACTCCTTGGACTTTACCCAAAGGAAATTAATCAGCAAACAAAAAAGCTGTATGCACCTAAATGTTTATTGCAGCTCACTTCACAATAGCTAAGACCTGGAACCAACCTAAATGCCCATCAACAGTAGACTGGATAAAGAAATTATTTCTTTGTTTTCTTAAGGAGGATGAAGACATAATTTTGAACACATGCCAGTTTTTGTACTACTGTATTAAATAGGGCAGGTGAAGCTCTACTATGGGGAGCATTTAAATTTAAAAAACAAAAACTTTAGGTTCTCTATGCAGAAATACAAAAAGATGAAAATCTTCTATGGTATTAAATTGATACTAAAACTGTTGGTTAGAATCGTGGGAAACTGCAGTCTCTAAATACATGCTCCAAATCCCATTTCATATGTATGTGATGC